CCGATCTTTTTGTCGTCCTTGAAAGAATTTATCTCGAATGACTTTTGTCAATTCCCATTCATCGTTGGGATAAAGGGATTTCATTTTGGCGATGATTTCATTTTTGAATTCAAAGTGTCGAATAGCTATATCCCTTAATTGGGCTTGTTGCTCTGCGTTGAACTCCTTTAGTGGCTTTAGAATGGAGTCTGCCCTAATTACGTCTTGAAGTTCTGCCTTAGGAAGTCGATTTATTAGAGAAGCCATTTCGTTGTCCTGAAGTTCAACGTTGATAAATTTATTGTTTGGAATTTGAATCCGTTGTTCATACACTATTTTTGGCAGTTCATTTAGATTAGGAAGAGACTCCCCCCTTTCTAGGGGCGTTCCTGGTGGGCCTAAGCGCAATTCCAGATCTGGATTGTCAGCGCATTGCGCTATTTGCACGACCCCTGTGAAATACATATAGAAACAAACAATACACGTAGAAATGGAAAAAGTTTTCTCAATCTTAGGTACCCATGAATCCCTACACTTATTATAGTGGAAATGCCATAAAGCGCGAACCAAGATCCGTGAGACGAAAACCAAAATAAGAATGAGGAAGAAAAAGATATCGTGATGTAAGTCTAAATAGAACACTAGAAAATTTTTAAATCGATAACAACATTTATAGAGCTTTTGCTCTATGATAATAATGAAAAGACCCAGAAATAACGAATAATGAAACAATTCATATAGTTCAAGAAAGAGTCGTCTCATTTCAAAATTTATGTTTTGTTATTTCCATCATCTCTTACTGTGGTTTCAGGATGATTCACAAGAAAGGTGGCAGGATTCGAACCTACACTCTTCAGGTCATGAGCCTGATGAGTTGACCAATTCCTCTACCCCGCTTCTTTTTTATTAGAAAAGTTAAACTTGCATGTGTTAAGCATATAGTTTAAGTAGCATGATTTCCCTTATTAGCGCTTTTATACTACCTATAAGCTTCAACCTTCCCTTCTCTTACTTAGATGGAGGAGAAAATAAGCAAGACTTTCAACGCGGCTTTTCTTTATTTCTTTTCTTAATTAATAAATTTATAGTTAGACTTTGTTTCCTGCAACCAAGCTTTTCCTTTCCGAAATCGAGAAAGAGCACTCCTAAAAGCAACCGTTCTCTTATTCTATTATACGAGACCCTCGCCATGGGTGATACGATTCCAAGAGACAAAAGCATATTCGATTAGCTACTTAGGATGAACCACACGGAGGCGATCTCGAACATCAAAAAGAGATATATAGAATTTAAAAAAGACAGAAGACCTTCCTAAGATAGATGGAGAACTCACCCTCTCTCCTATAAATCTTGTTTACACGAGCTTTAGTAAGCCTATCCTGTAACATCCTATCGCCTGCCTGCCACTACGCTTGCTGCCAAGCCATCTCCGACTCCTTGAACGAGGGGATGAAAGAGCATGAACTAATCTCTAAACCGATGGACTTCTCTGATAAATGAGATTGGTTAGCTGCTCCCTCACAATATCGGTTCATTGACCGGAATAGAAGGCATCGAAATCTTCGAACACCCAATCCCCGAGGTTCCCCCCAAACCGATTCCTCTGGAATCGAATATTTGCATTTGATCCGACTTCGATCGGAGAAAGCCTCTGGAATTGGAACAGATGTGGTTCGCCCGTCACCCGGTTGCTTATTGATCCCTCGGGTAGAGGGGGGGTAAGGCAAATGTCACTCTATCGATACAACGTATTGAGCGACCGCGATGAAGAGGGAGATGCTCCTTTACTTGACTGGAAATGACGGGTCGACAACTCCGAATCACAAGCTATTGACAACTAACTAAACTACTCCGGATGAGGGGTGAAATACGCCGCCTTCCTTAAAGTATACGCGCTTTCTCACTAAATTAAAATTAGGGAAGTTAAGGATTTAATACCCCCACCAGAAAGACGTGTTTTCCATTTTTTAAATAAGGCATGTAAGCCTCTTTGTCCCTCCCGGTTCGGCAGCAGAAGCATTCTCAGCTCCCGAAGAAGATGAAGCTACTGAGATAGGAATTAGGAGCTGCTTTTCCGGCCGATAAAGCTATTGAGAAAGCCAACAATTCTATCCGTTTATTCCGAATATCTTAGATCGAACATCACAAGCCTTATCACCAGAATTCACAACTCACTCCCGACCGATAAGAGGCGCCTCCGTCCAACCTCGATAGTATTGAATGCTCCTTCCATCCAAGCATGAGAGTTGCATTTTATGGTCAGAACTAAATCCCGGGATGGTGAATTAGACTCAGCCTATGCTGGCCTTATACATCCGGGAATCTTCTTAAATAAGAGGGCCACGGCCGTGGCGTTGGGCAGAAAGCCGATGATTTCGGCGAGGCCCTTCCCTTTAACCCGAACAGCCAGATTAATTACAGGTCATCCCCTACCTCCGAATCCTTTGACGGACACCAGAGAAGTTAGTTCTTCGCCTATCACATTGGTCGACTTGAACTTCCCTCTAGTCCTAGAATCACTACCTCTTTAAACCTCTGATGATAAAGTCGTAGGTGAAAGCGGGCCTTTCACCCATACTCATTCAAAAATGGGGGAGCTTACTTATCCATTTCGAGATAGTTGCTACCTATATGTTCGGATTCATTTACTACAAGAAAGCCACTATTCCAAGCGTAGGTCGAGATTTAAAGGCAAGAAGGAGTGTTCAAGCTGTAGATGGTTCCCAGTTATGCTTGTTTCCTCTCTTCCATTGCTTCACTTCAGAATCATAAGGAGACTAGGTTATTCTCATTCCTGCTTCAGTCCATCAATGCAGGCGGTTAGACTCTTGCTATAGATTAGGGCCTCTATCGTGCTATTCTAGACATAGGTAGGCGACAAAGACAAGGGATCTCTCTCGCTATGGATGGTTGCTGCTTGCGAGAAGCGTCTCTTCCGCTTTTTCCTTTCAAAAATTGAAATAAAGAAAGAATTTTTCCACTGGTATTCTACGCTCGATCTCTACTCCCCGAGAGCTCACTCACAATCTATGGCTCACTTAGGGCTAGAAAGAGAGGCTTCTTCATACAAAGCCAACCGGGAACCTTATTTCGACAGATCAAACTAGCTAGGATCGAGGATTCACGCCTTCCCTTCCGCTTACACCATTTCTTTGTGAATGAAGTTAGACGACACAGTTATTATTACTATGACTTAAAAAAAAAAAAGAGTTGCCATATCTCGGTAATGGGGTCTGTTGATTCGTAATCGTGGGATGAGTAGATGTAACAGATGATGTTTTTTTTTTATACCTCTGTCACTCTATCTTTGTTAGTGCCTTATATTAATAACTGATGAATCAAAAACAAACTGTCAATTGGTATTTTTTATTATCCTCGTATCTGGAAACTTAGGTAAGTTTTTTAAAAGAGTTCTAGTTATTATAACTATATAAAAATGTATCTCATTTAGCTCCTTCATGCCTATTATAATAGAACTACTTATTTCTATTTTGGTGGCTTCAACTATAACCCCAGCTCTCTTTATTGGTCTGAGGAAGACTTATTAGAAATTCATTGAATGAACAATTTTAAAAAAGAAATCTTTCTGTGAGATTCCAGGTATTCTAGAGTTCCTTCCCGCGTCAATTGCCAATTCTTGGTCATTGAGGTTCATGGGCGATTCGGATGTTTATTTAGGTTTGGAACCCTATATTTTTTCCCCTTTCAAATAAATAGAAATGATTGAAGTTTTTCTATTTTGAATCGTGTTAGGTCTAATTCCTATTACTTTTTGGCTGGATTATTCGTAACTGCATATTTACAAGACAGACGCGGCGATCAGTTGGACCTTTGATTCATTAACATCTCTTTTTTATTGACTTCCTCCTTTTTTTGATCCGCGGGAGGTTCAATTAAGGTTGCTGTTCAAATGAGTGAAGTTCTTGAATTCTAATTAGACCTAACAAGAACAGAATCACGCTCTGTAGGATTTGAACCTACGACATCAGGTTTTGGAGACCCACGTTCTACCGAACTGAACTAAGAACGCTTTCTTATCACAGTAGATACGACTAAAAAGAAAAGGCTTCTTTTTGTACCCCCAATACTAAACATGCATATAGTCTCAGAAAATGAAAATTATGTATGTCCGAATCGATCTCAATGGATCCCTCGTGACTGCCCAGAGGAGAAGAATAGGTAGGGATGACAGGATTGGAACCCGTGATATTTTTTACCAAAAAAAAAAGGCGCTACCAAGCTGCGCTACATCCCTTTCAATTGGTCTACAGTGTCATTGTAGAGAATCCCTGCCCTGTTTTCCACATCGGCAATGCACCTCCATCGATATTCAATTTCTCTTGCCATTTCTTCTTTTTTGTCTTTATTGATTTAGATACTCATCATCATCCCGCCGATCCCACCAACGCTTTCTTACTTATCTTATGAGCAGGGTTCTAAATAATCAGCCCTTTGAATGAATTGAATAAGCAAGGCTTTCCCGATAGAAAGATTTGCATGTGACAGAGATCCCAATTCCGTGTATCCGGTTAAGCAAGCCCCGCCGCCAGCTTCCACCCAGAAAAAAAAAGTGAGCGCCTAGCGCGAAAGGTTGCTTTACTAAGTAATATAACGTTAGCGCTTTAGTTTGTTTGATTGCTCGTTAGTTTCGTTTTCAATAAGGGGCGGGAAGAAGCGAGCCTAGAGTAGCAGCGCAGCCTCTTACTTTTTAAGGCCCCTTTTCTATTCTATTAGTAAAGCGCTAGCGCCCTTATAGAGTCAGGATATTCTGCTATCAATGAAACCGAAAGAAAGAAAAAAACCAGTGCCTTTCGTATAGATCGAGACTTGTAGCTTGATTCTTTACTCATTCCATACTGGGAAGAATTGCAGGCGATAACACTTATTCCTATTTATTTTAAAATGATACCCGACGATCAAGACAATTCCCGTGAAAGTCTTTCATAGAAGTGAATTCTTCTTCTTACGAAGCAAATTACATTTCCTATTGATTTGTCCCCTGGACCTATTCTGATTCTGAATTATCCGTCGCTACGCTGTTCCCAAGGACTAGCAGAATCGAAATAGCGAAATTCTTGGGTCATCTCAATGGGTTCAGAAACCACACGTTTCTCTGGATCATCATAGCGTACTTCCACATATCCACTCAGAGGAAGGTCTTTTCGTAATGGATGACCCTCGAAACCATAATCTGTTGATATACGGCGTAGATCTGGATGATTGATGGAAGAAACACCAAACATATCCCAAACTTCTCGCTCCCACCGGCCGGCTGATGGAAATGGACTGACTACCGGGGATATTCGTGTTACTTCGTCTGCACTGGTTTGTACACGAATGCGTGAGTTATACCGAGTACTCAGTAAATTATAGACCACTTCAAATCTTCGTTTTCGAGAGGGATGATCAACTCCGCAAATATCGATCGAAACTTGAACCCTTGTATAGGTATGCAATTTAAGAAAGCACAACAATTGAAATGGGCAGTCCGTATTGGTATCAGAGCTATTCCCATGTTCCGATCTTTCCATTTTTTTTACCCATTTCTTGGGTAAAGTCTCCCAACTATATTTGAAAATGAATTGGTTATCCATAAAGATAAAGAAAGCTTTCCTGTAGTTCCGCTTCTTGCTCTAAAAATTAGGAAAGACTTGTCGGAAATCGCCAGTTGGCTTGGTCCGACCAAGAAAGGCATGGGACTCTTTGGGCATTGCTTGGGTCGAGTGAAGTAAAGACTGGCTACCTATAATATAAAGATCCCTCACTGCACACTTTAGATATAATGAAAACCTTTAGTTTAGGAGTCATTCAGGCTAGATCTAAAAAAAGAACATAGCCTTCGTATGATCCCTTTCTAGTACCCTATCTTGAGCAGGAAAGTGTTCAGTAGGAAAAGACTGGAAGAAATGGGATTCGAACCCATGCATGATGCAATCTTCTTGTATGTCGATTTAGCAAACCAATGCCTTAAGCCCTTGTGCTATCCCCCATGATCAGATCAGATAGCCCTTTGGGCAACCAACCCATTTCGCTCTATCATTTCTTCTTTCTTTCCTAGCCTACTCAAAAACTATTTAGGAAGGGCTACCGTTATATACGCAATTAATAAAGGATGCCGAATCATCCACCGAATCCTATGTTTCATCCTAGTTTATTTGATGTGTATACCTGTTTTTCAGTTGGCCTCATGTATATCTAGGCCAATGTGTCTTATTGGGCTTAGTATGTGCTTAGTTTCGGTTAATCCTTAGGCTCTTTTTGATTACGTAGAAACTTGGATTATTTTTAGCCTTTGTAATCGTAATCTAATTTCAATAATTTTTTCCATAGGTTAGTTTCTTTATTTTAGAGCTCGGGGAGTGTCTTGAGTTCTTTGTTTGGTTGCCTGGGGTGGGGTATGCCCCTTCATTTATGTTTACTTCGGGGGTTCTCCTCCATCGGTCAATGTATTCTTACTTACCGAAAAGAAAGACTAGTTAGGTACCGTAGGTAGAGCATATTCCAACACTTCGGATAACCACTTGACATTGGCACCTTGGCCAGGTAGATCCGTCCCACTCTCCGGACCTCACCTCTGCTTTTTTGGAGTACGGGATGACTCGGATGGGCAGATAAAACAGAACCTGTCAGTTACGCCTTTAGGGGCCGCCACGTATAGCTTTAGTTTATGCTGTAGCATCGGTTATGCTCTGGTTACGAATGACCCAATCTATCTATGGCAACCACCCCTACTTTTAGTAGATGGAGATGCGCACCTAGGAAAGCGCGGAATAGACCTACGTGTCGGCCAGTGCCGGGGCAGAGATAGGGACCATGAAAGCATGGGATTCAATCGAACCTTTTCGGACAATTCCT